GCGGCGGGCACAGTGTAGGCTTTTCCACCCTAGTTTATCTGACGGCCGCGCCCCGCACACCCTGGCCTGCCGTCTGCTTTTCTCCCCTGGACATCACCTGTTGGAGCAATTCCCACGTCAGAGCAAAGAGCACCTCCTCCCGGCTCACAACTGCATAGGTCTCCATTGTTCAGCCGCTGCCCTGTGTCCTGGGGCCACTGACGGACACCTAGGGAGTTTCCAATATCCCGCTGCTGCGTCAGAGTAAGCGGCCTGGCACCCGTGTCATCGTGCATGGATGTCAGAGTGTCGCTGAGACACGTCCCCAGAAGGGCCGGCTGGTTGCAGGCTTTTGCGTATTGTGAACGGTCCTGCACAGGGGCTGTGCCCAGGTGCCCCCTGAGCCGAGTGAGAGCGCCGGGGGGTCCCCAGCCCCTCAGGACAGTGTTGCCACCCCCTTGAGTGTGGACAATCTGATGAGCCACAGTCCCTGTCTGCAGGCCCCTCGAACTTTAACTCCCCAAATTTCTCTCCCCCCTCCTCCCAGGCCATCCTGTCAGGAATCGCACCCGGCTCCCCTGGCTCAGTCCCCTTGGCTGGGTGAGTGTAGGAAACGGCCAGCAAACGGCAAACAAGCTCTGAAGGGGTTGGGCAGCAAGCTTCCCCAGGATCGCAGGAATCCCCTTGAAAATGAGGGAGGCAGCCCGGCCGGCGAGGCTCAGCGGATGAGCGTCAACCCAGGATCCAGGCGATCGGGGTTCGAGTCCCGGTCAGGGCACAGGCCCGGGCTGCGGGCTCCACCCCCAGTCGGGGGCATGCAGGAGGCAGCTGATCAATGACTCTCATCATGGATGTTTCTCTCTCTCCCCCCCTCCTTTCCTCTCTATGAAATCAATAAAGATTTATTTAAAAAAAAAGAAAACAAGGGAGACATTTCTGCCAGGAATTGAAAACAGACCCTTATCTTTCCGGAAAGCTCGCCCCCAGGAGCGTTGCGTCCTTAAGAACAAATGTGAAGCATCGGCACAGAGCAAGGCCACCTGCTCTTGCGCATGTTCTGGCTCCTCCTGATCACTGCCTCTCACGCCTGCCTTTCCATGGCTCACAGTAAAAAGCGCTGGGTGGTGAGGGGGGTGGCTCCAGCTCCTCCAGAGCCTCAGCCCTCCGCATCTCCACCTAAATTCTACATTCTCCGTGTCTCGAGTTTTCTTCGTGTCCCGTGAGCACAACGGGTTCGGGTCTTGTCGACGGCCCGGGGGATTGTTTTTCCCTTGCCCCTGCCCTGGATCTAGCCCCTCTCCCTCCACCACCATCTGTCCCCTGGGCAGCCCCAGCCCCCAACGTGGTCTCCCGGCCTTCCCTCTGCCCTCAGTTCTCCACGCAGCAGCCAGAGGATCTTTCTAAGTCATAATCATATATTTTATCAGCCCCCAATTGCCTCTTCAAAGCCCCCCAATGCTTTTCCTTTACAGCTGAAGGGAATCCCAACTTCTGCCCCAACCAAGGCCCTGGCAGCCCTGCCCTCAAGCCCTGCCCTGTGAGCCCTGTCCCCTTTGGTGGACCCTTGCTCCTGTCCCTGCCTTCATCCATCCCAGCCCCTGAGCTCTCTCTCTCTCTTCCTAAAACAGGAACCCTTCCCAGACCCCATCCTGGCCTTGGCCCTGGCAGTTTCCTCCCCTGCGCTGTTCCTTCCAGTCTGGGGTCCCCAACCAATTGTCCCCTCCCCAGTGAGCGCTCTCCATGGCCACAGAGCTGCCCGTTAACTCTGCTGCCTCCCCCCCACGACCCCATGAACTTGGGCCTGAACTGCTAAACTACTCACGCCCCGTTTCTCCAGGGCCTAGCCCCTGGGGAACGTCAGCCCCGCAGAGAGGGCCCGGCCGCCTTCCCACTGCCCCCCCCCCCAGGAAGGGTCAGGGTCAGAGGACCCCATGTCCTTGTACAGGGGAGCAGGTGACCGCAGAGGGCCCCAGTCCAGGTTCTCCTGTCCCGTGCCATGAGTCACTCCTCCACTCAAGCAAATTTTCCGGCTGAGACGGCGACAGGGTCAGGAAAGTCACTGATGTGGAACGCTTGTCAGTGGCCGGAACTGGTGACTAGGGTGGGACCTCAAGCCCTTTCCCTCCACCCTGGTGGCAGGAACAGCAGGAACTGCAGGAACCTTGAGGAGCCGCCCACATCCCGCTCCTCCCCACCCGGAGGGAGAGTCACCCACCCTGGGGACCCACTGCTGCTCACAGGGCTCTGAGGACCCCGCCCGCTGGGCCTCAGCAAATTTAAACTCTCCGGTTTAAATCCACCCTCTCGGTCCCTACCCATCGGCCCCCGTTTAAAATGTCCACGTAAGAATTTTTTCCAAAACTGTAAGGATTTTTATGAGTTTATGAGAGACACTCTTCTTGTACGTTGGTGGGGACGGATGGGTAACATTTTCGGGGCGTGGAGATAGTGCGTGAGGAACAGCAGGTGGGTTCTGTGGCCTCTGCTCTGGTGGGAGGCTGAGCCCTGAGGGTCTGGGAAAGATCACTCTGACATTTCAAAGGAATGTTATTGAAAAAAGGCAAGGTGAAGACGGACCCTTGTTAAGAAAGACACTGGCCTAGGACATGACTGCCTTCCATGGCTCCCTTTTAGTTAGGAAATCTTTTGTGTGTGTGTGTTTTTGTTTTGCTTTGTTACCCTCACCTGAGGATATTTTTCCATTGCTTTTCAGAGAGTGAAGGCGGGGGAGAGAGACACATCAATTGGTTGCCTCCAGCACGCGCTCTGACGTTGGCCGGGGATCGAGCCTGCAGCCGAGGGACACGCTCTTGGCCGGAATCAAACCTGGGACCCTTCAGTCTGCAGGCTGACGCTCTGATCACTGAGCTAAACCGGCTGGCGATGATCTGCCCTTTATTTTTTATTTTATTTTTTTACTCACACTGGCCTCACCTAGCATCCTGACTCACCCACCCGCCTCCCCCTTTCTTAATCATTAAGTCTCAGGACAATGGTCCTGGTCAGCCTCCAGTAGTCTTAAAAACCAAGCCTCGGGGCTGGTGACCACAGAGCCAGAGTATTGGTTGAACCGGAGAAAACATCTAGCTGTGTTTCAGCCCCAGAGCAACCCCACTGAGTGCATTCTTGCAAAACCAGCTCAAGACACGCCACGGCTGGTGTCGGGACCAGGTACACTGGTCGGCCGCGCCGTACTCCAGCCATCGCGGGCCAGGTCTCTGCGCACGAGCTCCCTGTGGCTCCGGGCACCATCCATCTCCCTAACCAGTCCTTACTTTCTTGGCTGCAAACTCTTTGTGTCTTTCTGGGCTCCGATGTGTGTAGGCAAACAGACCCTTTTAGTTTAGCAGCATCCTCCCTGGTGAGCTGGGCCTTCCGTTCACAGGCTGTGGGCTCCTCTGTTCACAGACGTAGCTTTCAAGGTCGACTCCAGAAATATAAACATAGTTCCCACTGAGCCCTATGTGTGGAGTTGAAATGATTGCCTAGAGTCCTGACATCTCTGTTCCGCATCATCCTCATTAAAAGACTGTGGGGAGATCCTTACAGGTGAGGAAACTGAGGCACAGAGGGTGGAGTGAGTGGCAGTGCCCACAGCAGGCCCTCCCAAAACTCATGCTCACCGGTGAGGAGGGGCAGGCGGTGCTGTGGGGTGGGACTCATTGGGGACTTGACACAGAGCCAGGAGGACATGTCTGCCCAGACCCCAAGATACCTAGCCCTGCCCCCCCAAATAAACCACTCCACAGCCACTTCCGAAGTCATCTTTATATCAAGCTCTCAAAACCCAGATCCTGTCCTGAGTGTACACATACAAAAGCAATACTATCAAAAATAAAATTAATTACATCGGGACGCAAACTCCTACAAATGTACAAAGGCTTTTGTGCACCATTTACACGGGCCAGTTCCTGGCCAAGTACCTGGAAAGAGGGGGACAGGCCCAGAGAGCTGGCCTGACCCTGGTGGCACCCTCAGCGGCTGAGTCACACCTGAATCAGAACCGCCCCCTCTTGCGCTGAGAGGGTCTATAGGGTGGACAGAGGCCAGGAGGGTGACTGAACTCCTGTCTTCCTGGGGTAGGACAAGGTGCCCTCCAGGCCAGGGGACGAATGGAGAAACTGTGGTGGGCAAAATTATGATCCCCCAAAGATGCGCACGTCCTAATCTCTGGAGCCTGTGACTGTATGAGGTTCCATGCGAAGGTGCATTAAGGTTGCGGGTGAAATGAAGGTTGCTAATCAGCTGGCCTTACAAATAGGGAGAGGGTCCTGGGTTATCCATGTGGGTGGGCCAAAGGTAGGCAGGGGGTCCTTACAAGTGGACGAGGGAGGCAGGAGAGAAGTGCTATCATGTGAAAAGGCTTTGAAATGGATGGGGCCATGAGCCAAGGTTTATGGGAAGGTGGCTTCTAGAAGCTGGAAAAGGCAGGAAATTCTCCCCCGGGCCTCCAGGAGGAACCCGGCCTGCCCACACCTTGACTTCAGCCCGCTAGACCTGCATGAGAACTCTGACCTCTAGAACTGAAGAATGTCTTGTTTTAAGCTACTAAGCTTGTGGAAATTTGTTACAGCAGCAGTAAGACACTCATATCGGGACAAAGGGGTCAGAGGTCAAGCTTACCCGGCCCAGACCTCAGCCGGACTCCCAGGTGGAAGAACCATGAAGGCAGCCCCTGGGCCTGGGCCCATCCTCAGGGGATGCCTGTGGGCAATCAGAGAGTGCCCAGGGTCTGAGCGGCAAGGGTAGTGGGGCAATCTGGACGTGGCTATGACGCTGGCTCTGGCCCCAGCTTGCGGTGTGACTCCCCTGCCTCTTTTTCCAGGCCCTAGATACGAGCTCATCCTTCCCTTTTCTCTCCCAGCTGCCTTCATTCCGCAGACTTCCTGAGCCGAGCACAGCGCAGCCCCGTGTGAAGGAGGCAGGGTAGGTAAGGCCCGGCCCCTGGCCCCAGGCACTCAGGCCTGGCCACGAGAAGGGCGGTTCTGAGACAGAGTGTGAAAGAGCCCACGGACGCAAGGTGTCCCAGGACTGCTGACCCCTCACCACTCTACCTCCTTAGCGCAGGCACTAGCAACTGTCGTTTCTCAGGTGTGGCCTCTTTGGCTCCTCACAGTGGTGCTCCCACCCCACTGGACTGGTAACAAACTGGGGCCTGTCCAATTCCAGCTGCCCGTGGGCCTGCACCATGGCCAGGGCTGGGCAAAAGCAGCTGCAGAAGATGGGGCACCCGTGAGGGCCCACGAAGCCAGTGCTGGTCTGAACGGCCCCCAAGTGGGGTGACTGGCCCAAAGCGGGTGTGTCCGATGCTTGCTGGGTCCCCCAAGCAGGCCAGGCCATAGGAAAAGCTACCCAACCTTTATAAGTGAAAATAGGGACTTGAAGGGCTCCTGTGTTCTCGTGCTGATGTCCAGGATGCTCCGGATGCTCTTGACTTCACTGCTTGACAGGTTCCCCTTGATGGCCAAGATGGAGCTCAGGTGGCCTTTGCTGGCAAGGAGAATGTCCCATCAGTTGAGCCTGGTCACCAACACCCCTGCTCACACCCCTTCCCAGCTCCCCAGACTCCTGGCCTGAGCCACAGCACCCTGTTGCCAACTCCCTGCCTACGAGGGTCCTCTCTCTCCTCCTACTGAGCTCCAGCAGCTCTGGCCACCTGTCCGGCCCTACAGCGCTCCGAGGTCCTGCCCACCTCAGGCCTCTAACTGGCTGTTCCTCCTGGAATGCCCTTCCACACGCCCTTGAGATGACCAGCTCCTCCCACCCTTTAGGTCTCAGCTAAAATGTCACCTCCCCCAGAAGGCTTTTCCATCTCTACAAGTCAGAACCTCCTGTTGGTTAAATAATCTTCACAAGTTGCGATTGTATTTCTTTGCCCCATCACCTCATTATTACTACAGGAGGGAGAACTGACACCTGCTCTGTCTTGTACTTCATTGCATCCCGGTGCCTAGAACAGAGCCTGGCACCTGACAGACCACTCAGTAACTAATTGTTGGTGGGATGGGTGGGTGGGTGGATGGATGAGTGAGTTGATGGGTGTGAGTGGGTGATGGATGGATGGTTGGATGGATGGATGGATGGGGGTGGGTGATGGATGGATGGGTAGATGAATGGATGGATTGGTGGATGAGTGGGTAGGTGAGTGGGTGGATAAACAAATCAATGAATGAATGGATGGATGAGTGAGTGAATAAATGGATGGATGGATGGATGGATGGATGGATGGATGGATGGATGGGGGGGTGGATGGATGGATGGGAGGGTGGGTGAGTGGATGGATGGATGGGTGGGGTGGATGGATAAGGAATGAGTGGGTAAATGGATGGATGGATGAATGAATGGACAGATGGAAGGAGTGAGTGGGTGGATGGATAGATGAGTGGGTGGGTGGATGAGTGGGTAGACGGATGGGGAGGTGAATAGATGGATGCATAGTTGGGTGGATGATGGATGGATGGATGGATGGATGGATGGATGAATAGATGGATGGGTGGAGCTGGATGATGGATGGGTGCATGAATGGGTAGGTGGGTGGATGGATGGATGGGTAGATGAATGAGTGGCTAGATGGATAGACATGTGGGTGGGTAGATGAGTAGATAGCTGGAATGCTAGATGGGTGGTTAGATGGGGAGATGGCTGCTTGTATGGGTGGCTGAATAAATGGCTGAGTGTGTAGGTAAATGGGTGGCTAGGTGGGTGAGTGCAGTGGATCAGCCAGGGGCTAGACTAGGCTCAGCTATCAATCCAACTCAAGGCCCATTCAGACTTTTTCTTCCATGTCAGAGGACCCAGCCCAGAAAAACCACTTCCTTGGCTCACAAGATCCTCAGGCAGCCTCCAGCCTGGAACAGGGACCCAGGGCCCAGGGCATAGGTCCAAGCCCCGAGGATCCCTAGGCTGCGTGGTGGACCTCAGCTCATCACGGACTTGCCACGGCCTCTAGCAAGCCCCTGGTCTCTCTGGTCTCAGTTTCCCTTATGAGGGGCAACATCATATAGGCTAAGAGTGGGGACGATGGAGCCAGACTGCCTGTATTTGTCATCTTAGCTCTGTGTCGCCCTGGACACAGGCCTTTAGCTCTCCAGGCCTCATGTGTAAATCAGGGATGAAAAGCATCGGCCTCGTAGGGCCACAGTGAGGATCAAAATGCATGAGCCACCGAAGAGCCTCGCGTGGCAGCTGGTACCGGCAGCAGCTGCCAACAAAGGTCAGCGCCAGGGCTGCACTGCGTGGCCAGCGCCTGAGCTCCACGCACCCAAAGGGGCTGAGTGCAGCCACGCCAGGCCGACCGCGGTGGGGGCCGGCAGGGCCATACCGACTGCCCAGGTCCTGTGGTGCCCTGTTCTCACCTGAAGTCGGGGTAGCAGGTGGCGTAAGTGGCCACCTCAATCTTGATGGCGCTGGGGTCTTGCAGGCGGATGATCTCGGCGAGTGTAGGGAGGGCTTGGTGCAGCCAGGTGGCCCGGGAGCCCTGCAAGCACAGGCCTGGTTGGAGGGAGGCTGCCCCTTCTCCAGAAGGGCACCCAGGGGCCCAGAGAGGTTCAGATCAGAACTGATCAAGTCTGGAGAGGCCCAGAGGAGCGAGGGCAGCCATCCCAGGTGGCCGGGGCTTACGTTCTGCGTGCAGAAATGTTCGATGAGGTTGGCATTGGCCAGAACCTGCCTGGCTAGTTGCTGCTGCTGCTCTGCAGTCTTGAGGACCACTTGCCGCTTACTGAGCTGCACGATGTATTCCTTCACCAGGTACACGTGGACAAGCTCCATGAGCTCCTGCGTGGGCCGGGGGGCGGTGGTGTGTGAGCCAGCCCCTGCTGGGGAGCTCCCGCCTCCCGCGAAGCCTCAAAGCCAGGAGTTAACGAAGGGGCAGATGCCAGGGCAGAGGAGTGTATACGTGTGCATGCGTGTGCGTGTGTTCACTGGGTGTGCACAGACCCGTCAGCATGCGTGCCCAGGCCCAGCCCCCAGCCCAGCGGCTCCTCACCTCCTGGAAACAGTCGTGCAGTTCCGAGAACTCGGGCAGACTTTTTTCCATGATGGAGACAATTTCCTCCAGGGTCTGCACAGAGGCGGCCCAGCGGGTCTGCGTGAGCCTCTTGAACAGCGGCTGAGACGGGAGAAAGGCAGGATGTCTGGGCCCGCCCTGCAGGGGAAGGGCTGCCAGCCGCAGACGTGCACACACAGACACGCACGCTGACATGCGGGGTGGCCCAGGGGCCAGGGGACTCAAGGGCTGCCAGAGGACCAGGGCAGGTCACAGACAGGAAGTGGAGGCGGGGTCTGTGTACCCTTCTCCAAGGACACCCAGCTATGGCTCCTAAGAAGCAGCCTGCCTGCCCTGAGGCATTGTCCACTGCCCCCTCTTAAATAAAGTCCTGCATAAACAAGGCCTTGTGCTTGACTGGTGCCAAGTCATCCAGGGTCATGGTCGGGCCTTCACCACCAGCAGGCCACCCACAGCCTCCCACTCTGGTCACTGGGTATGAGGTGGGCCCCCAGGGAGGGCAGGCATGGAACCCCTCCTGTTTTTCTCCAGGGACCCTCACCCTCTGCTAAAGTAACTAAGGGCTTTCTGTGGATTTCTTGGTCCCAGCAGACGTGGTGGTGGCTGTCAAAGGCTCTGAGCATCACAGCTGGGAGTCAGGCATGGGGACAGGTGGGGGAAGGAGGACTGGGGGGGAAGGGAGGCAAACTGTGTGCAAGCTTGGGGACTGGGCCGAGTCTAAATGGGTGGGGGGGACACACTGAAGCTTTTCGGTGCCCTCTCAGCCCCAGGAGGCCCCTCTGAGGCCAAGCCCCAGGCTGAAGTGGTGGGGGCGAGGTCACAGACTCCATGACACCCTCACCTGGGCAGCACCAGCCTCTCCACATCCAGCCCCACACAGTGCCTTCCACATGCCAGTCTTGGCTCCTGCCATTCTTCCCCACCCCTCCTCGTGTCCCTGCAGCACTAGGCTCAGCACGGCCCAGGGAAGGAGGCTTCAGCTACCTTCAGTTTCGAGAACAGGCCGTGGAGCAGGGTGTCAAAGCCGTGGCTCTTGAGCTCTCTCAGGGGGCCCAGGATATCCTGTGATGTCTGCCACTTCTGTTCCACGGATGTCCTGGAAGGACATGGAGGCAGGGAGGTCATATCAGCCCTGCCTAGCTTACAGCCCACACCCAGAGAGCCATTAGCCCAGGGCGAATCTTCCTAAACACCTCCTCTCTCTCGAACCCTCAGTGGCTCCCCACTCCCTGTGGAAGCAAGCCCAAGTTGCCCCATCCATACTCCCCAGGTAGGCCCCAGCCTGCTCACCCCCAGCACACACCCATTCCCATACTCTTATAACTTAGGGCACATGGCTCAGCCTCTGCACACCTCAGTGTGCTCATCTGCTTAATGGACATAATCAGTGCACCTACCTAATAGGGTTGTTTAAGGATAAGACAACCAGTTAATTCTCTGCCTGAGTGCTTGACCCACCAGCACTTAAATGCTTCCTGCTGTGGCCAGCCCTGCTCATTTCCCCACAGGCCTTCCTTATTTTAATTCCACATCTGTGCTTAAGCTGCTCCTCACCTCCCTCCCTCCCTCGCCTCCTCCTACCAGCTACCCCTTCTCTCCAACAGGCAGGGCCCATGCTCTGCTCCCACCCCCCCTCCCAGCTCCCACCTCACCGGAAGGACAGACAGTTGTTGATGTTGGCCATGACATTGGCCCTGTAATTTCCCAGCTGTGTGCACCTCTCCAGAAATTCATCAAAGGCTCCCTGGTAGCTGGTGAAATAGGAAGGGGCACTTGCAAGACCAGCACAAACACTGGGACAATGGCAGCCGCCTGGGTTTACCCAGCACTTTTCCCGAGGGCTATTGGTCCCCCACAGCTCAGGACGGCAGCTAACCCCTGAGCATCCCGTGACTGACTTCCTGGCTCTGGTGTACCCCTGTGCATCTGGGAGATGGGGGGGG